TATTTCATTTCTCACCCATACAGTTTCACCCAATTGTACAGATTGGTTAGATCTATCCTTATTAGCTCTGTCTGAATTCCCTTGACGTTTTCACAGAAGTTTCCTTTATTAATCGGTGAGCCTTTCACAATTCTTCATTACTTTCATTCTCCACTACAGGTAAATCAATGCCCACTTGTCTGTGCATGTCTTGAAAGCAAAGTGAGGTTGCACTCCCATAGTAGTGTGCACAGCAATGTTTAAAGCACATTGAGTAGGACCTTAGAATTTTGGCCAACATCTTGGGTTATCTTCACACGATTGCAAGGATGGTTTTAAAGGTTCGGTGCATTCTTTCTGTAACACTTACCTCGGGAATGGTAAGCCAAAGCAAAGTAAGTTTTCAATGTTGTTGTTCTACAAAATTCTTTAAACTGGGCAGCCACAAATCTCCCTCCATTATCTGCAATCACCATTTTAGGGTTACCAAATACATTAGTGAATTTCTCAAACTCTCTGGTAACTTCTTCGGTTGTCTTAGTACATAGAGCATAGAAATGAACAAATCTAAAGTAATGGTTGATGACTGTCACTACATACCAGTAATCACCGACACCAGCATGCATGTCAGTCAAATCGACAGAAATTCGCTCTAGAAGTTTGGTAACTACCCGCACCACCTGCCATTGCTGGGCGAGTCCCTTAGTTCCCATAAATCTTTGAAAATTTTCAGAAGAATCTACAAATTTTAACACAATCTCTATGGTAGTTAGGCCAATAGAATAGACTTTCAACATTGGCTACGGTCTTCCACTGTCCTAAGTGACCTGACTTTGCACTATTGTGTACTAACCCTTTAGGCAGCCTTGTGTAAATGATCTGGTACAACCAAGCAATAGAGCAACGCTTTGTCAATCTGTTGTTACTAGGCATAAGACTCCATAAACTACTATCAAATTTATCAATGGAAGTTTTAAGGTATCAATTCACAGGTACTTTACCTCCTTTCAAATACTGCACGAGTTGTTCCCACCTTGGCTCCTTCTGTGTTAAGCCATCTAGTCTGGAAAATTGAGCAGCTCTATCATTCCAAACCACTTCTCTTGGGGTCTAACTGGTCTACTTAAAGCATCAACCACCACATTTTCTTTACCCAGCTAATGTTCAGAGGCGTCTCCTTAGATGCGAGTGTATTAACGGAATTAATCTCGATTTAGCGACCTAGTTCACCAAATTGAGTGAAAAATAACAGAAAAAATGCCTTCCACTGAATCATGAGTTCATTACATCAGATTCCGTTAGATCGCGATTATGATACTGTTCTATTAAAAGTATCTAATACAGCTGCTCCTTGACTTTCGACGGGGTCAGGGACCTAAATCCAGGTAGTTAAGTCGAAAATGCTAAAATTAATACATAGAAAATCTAAAATGGGTCTCTTTTTCTTCTTGGCACCACAATACTCTCACTTTTAAGCTTGCCAGCCATTTTAAAGTGATTTACAAATTAAAATTTTGTCAGTACATAGCGCACTCACTAACGTCGGGACTCGAAAATACGTAATTTGACAAAATTTTGGTACGACTGAGGCAGTCGTAAATTGAGGAGTAGCTGTAGAAGTGCTTCACAAGTGTCAGTTTATATCACGCCAAAATACAGTATGTTGGTCTCTTACACGACTGTGCACTATTGCCATAGTTATATGCAAGTAACCACAGAATTTACTGAAAAGTAATTTCAATGTGCTAGTGAGCCTTTTTAGATTTCCTGGCTTTTCCAGGTGTAAATTTGAAAAATTCCAGGTACATTAATTCGGTATTTATTACAATAACAAAATTAGAGGTTTTCAATAATATGTATATTTCTATTGTATTGGGAAATTTAAAGATGAATCTATGATATTAATTAAGAAATTGAAGACCCTTTTGGGACCCACCCCAAGCCAATCTGACAAAAATAAATTATACAGCTATGAATTGAAGTATCAATTAAAGTATGTATAGTTGCCAGCAAAAGTTCTCTTACAGCCCTGTGTAGCAAATTGTGGGAGGACTTTTGCTGGCATCTGTACCTGTGATGTACTTAGTCTAGATACTAGTCACAGAGAGCTGTCAGACTCCCACTATTGTCTTTAATTTCCTTAATTTTTTTCCACTTTATTTACATAAATTCCTTACATTTTGGCAACCCTGAGAAAACACCAGCACCATCCACTGGCGGTCGAGTTACTGCTTCGGTTACTGTCCACCTGGCGCTAAATTTAAACGGCTGATTCCCTGCCGGGTCTCAATAGTGTAGGTCATATGCCCGCCCATTTTTTTAACTGGCAATGGCTACCGGATTGACTACTTTATTTAACCAGCTATGATCAGTACGATCATTAGGCCTAGTGATGAACCTCGGCAAAGGTCTTAACCCCCTCCCCTCCATATTTTTCTCCTTGGATTTGTGTGATTCAAGAGGGTCGACCTGGACGCTCCAAAAAAGCCGGAAATTCAGCAAAAACAAATAAACTACACTTCTGATCCACCTACAGGTATATGACCCATGATAAATATGTGAAATAATCCCCTTAAATAAAGTCACTTAATTATAAGAACAATTAATTTGACAATAATCATTGCAGAATTAGTAGGTATAAACTGCAATATTTAGTTATTTGATCGCTAACATGAAATATGATAGGTACACAAACAGTTCAGTTATTGGAGTGGACTATCTACTGGAATTTATCCCTAAAAGTTTAATTACTTACCTAGTATACAGTACATCATTAATTTATGGTAAGATTGGTGTCAAAACAACAATATTATGAAGTTGAACTGGATTCACATAAAATTCCAGGTTATTTGTAAAATTCCCTGGCTTTTCCAGCCCCAAATAAAATTCCCTGCCTTTTCCAGACCAGTAGACACCCTGTAAAATTAGACAAAAATGAGAGTAGGAGTTTATTGTGAGAGAATATCGAGTTTAGAAAGCACCGTAACACATGGGCTTTTGTTACCTGTGCAGGTGTCATTGATACATAAGAAATTATAAAAGTTGTGGCAATATCAATTTACCGCTCTAAAGTTACTTAGAAATAAAGAAAATTAACTATAAAATTAGAAAAAAGAAGTGAGAAGTGAGATTCTTTAAGGGAAAGGTAGGGCAGGTGACTGACTGAAGGACTGATTGCCCTCACCATGTAGCGAGCCTCTCCATTTCTCTTACCACAACTGTCTTAAGCACTTGGTAAATAATATTGTAGTGTATTATGCATCTATATATATCCTGGTTTATTCAGTAATCATCTAAATGCACAAGTAGCCAAATCGAGCCTTATTGTATTACTCAAAGGTAATGAACAATGTTATAAAGAACCTCCATATCAAATTTTATGCTTATGAAAATGGACCAAAATAGCCTTTTTCATAACTTCACATTTCCTTCAGCTGAACCTTCATAAATTGAGTACCGGTACTGTCTGTATTCCCTTCTGAAAAATGTATTAACGGAATTCATAATAATTCTAATATAATTTGTAATATATTTACTAAATTTTATACACATTTCTCTTTAAATTAATTAATACAGATAAATATAAAAAACAAAAGTACACAGTAAACAACAATACATTTACTATACTGTACACAATTCCAGTTCTAGCTATGTAGGATGCAATACCATCACATGCCTCGTGTAAGCGGGAGTGGAAGTCGCATACACAAGCACACACATGTACAGTCACCCAAAAAAGTCGTCGCGAACCATGAACCCCGAGATTCAGACTCTTGAATCCGAAGCATTTATGGACAGAATAATGTATCAGTGTCTACTGCTTCGGGTTCACGAGTCTGAATCTCGGGGTTCGTGGTTCGCGACAGGACTTTTTTGGGTGACTGTACAAGTATTCAACCATGACTGAGGGTGCCAAATCTTGAATCAAAATCTAATCTTACAATAATTATTGCATCAATATAAATGCATTGTAAATATTAAAATAATCTTATTGTATAATATATTGTTCATTACTACATTTTGCTAATGTTTAAGAACTATACTGTAAAAATAATTACTGACTTTCAAATGGTTACAAATCAAGAAGAATCACTGGTTACGTTTAAGAACATTTCTTTCAGTGCAAAATTTTAAGAATTTTATCCCCCAGTTTCAGTTCGTGTCATATGACGGAATATTATTTCGTGGTAATGATTCAATCACCACACAGATCTGGCTAGATAATGTTGCCAAGTAGGCCTTTTATCTTTCACTCGCTCACACATGCACCTCCCAGCCTCACCACATGTTTTTACCCCCCAAGCACAAGTGTAATAGGTGTCTGGACCATCAGCAGATTCGTGATCAAATACTGGAGTGTAATTAATATTATAAAAACAAATGTTGTACCCCATACTGCCTACAAATCAAGTGTTGTGTACCTCATACTTCTTCACATATATGCCCTCTGGTTTCAGCAACAGTATTTCTTTACTATGTCATGCATGAACAGTTTGTATTTTCCCTGAATATACCTGCATTGGGTGATATACACCTACCATAGACTGGTGCAGGAGGATTAAATACATTATTTCAATACAGTAATACACATCTGACCCACCAATTTTTTATGCAAGTGAAAGAATTCCTAATTTAGGAATACTGTACTAAATTGTGAAAGAATTACTGTAGTCTGTAGGTATCCAAGAGTACTGTTTAATGACAAATGTTCGCATTCAGAACTATATACTGATTACCTATACTGTATATAAAATGCAATGTTCAATATTACTTGTATATTGGGTATAGTGTCGACTGATGTTCAATAGTTAGCCTAGAATATTGCAATAGCTATATCACAGCATTCTCATTCAGGAATAAACTACCCTGTATTAACCTTTACACCTGATGATCTTATTCAGCAATGAAATATCCCTGTACACAAGGAGTTAGGGAATAATATAACCACTTGAGCTCCATCTCTTCTGTCAACACGTCCTCTAGGTACTTCATTGATATATTTGTTGGAAATAAAATTAAAATTGTAAATATTAAATTTATTTTCAGAGGCGATATGGTTTACAATATTAATTTATAGCACTTCATCTTAAATATAACCCCAGTTTTCCTTTTGCTTATAGTAACGCATTAACGATACGAGAGGTTGAACTCTGTCCTGTGCCCAGCACACTATTTAGCACGTCTGTGAGAGTCGAGTAAACTAATACCCCTTCCACAAAATAGTGGTTCATTTAGGGATTCTCTCATGTTACAAAGCTCAGCAGCAGCAATAAATGGGACAGCATGGAGCACGAGCATCAGCTAGGGATGGGTAGAGGTTACGTCAGACATAATCATCACATCACCAGTTCATCACCATGACAAGTCACAAGGTCAGAAGGCACAGGTCAAAGCCCAACAATCTCGAAATAACAACTAGCGGAGTAGCAAGCGCTTGATGGGACAAACAGCAGCTCGCCGTGGGTTGCAAATGTCACATTTTGCATATTAAACTCAACAGTATGTCAACATCCCTGGGTAGCAGGAGAGTTCAAGGGAGTTGACAGCAACCAGCAAGCATATCCTCCAGCCTTAGGCACATGCTCGGGTCTGTACACGACTTTTAAATATTTATATAAATATACAAAATAAATCACAGAATTTGAGCCATAATTTACAAAACTTATGAGGAGCCAAGCTGTAAACAAGTAACTGAGCTTTCAAGTATCTAAATGCATATATCCTCTATACAATCACTCAATATCTTGGAAGTGAAGGGAATGCAGTTTTCATTTTAACTATGCTATAACACAATAACAATAATATGCAACTGATGCTCACCCTAGCGAAGATTACAAAACCACCTGCACTTTCTTATAACATTTTTAACCTGTTCATGTGCACTTTTTACAATAGTATATAAAAAAAACACAATTTAGGCAGCATATTAAGTTTCAAAAGTCCACTCGTACATCAGCTTGCTGTGTCCAACCTGTGGTGTAGCCCTCGTATTGAGAGAGAGACAACAGGGAGACTACCAGCATCTGCCTAGTGCATTCCAACACTAATGGCTGGAAGTCTACAATACCTGCCCTTCGTGCCAGGCTCAAGACACTATTCACTGCAGTAAAAACAATTAATTTGGCTCCTTTTCAGTTCACTTTTTTTCTAAAATATATTGAAATCCATGAGTAACAAAAACTTGACATATCTTTGTATCAACACTTAAAGGAAGAATTAAGGAGGTTAGAGGGGCAAACCCTCAGGCATGAGTTTCTGTTTCTTCTACATCAGCTTCCTTTAACCACCGCATGAAATTTTTGACAGAGTTAACACAAACACCCTTTCCCTCCTGTTCCTCTGGGTCCTGAGACTTGGCCCACTCATCAAAGGCCTCTTCAGAAACAACTTCAGAATCATAAAATGCATTGAAGCACTTTTCTAGAAGACCTGGAAGAAAGCGTACAGTATTAGATAAAATAGTCATAATCACACGCTTCACAATGATTTATTATTGTACCGGATGAACACAACTGGCAAGAACAGTTCCCCTCACATTTCCTTTACTTCTGTTGATTTCCCCAAATACTCTTAACACCTTTTTCTTTCGTTAAATAATTTGAAGTTTTAACCCCTTCACCAGCTGACAATGCTATTTGCATCACTATGCAAACCTTGAGCACTCACACTGGCATACAAGATATAATTCATCCATCCAACTATTTTGTTCTTTATTACTAAGATAACTTGCCTAAAAAAAAAAACCCATAAATTGTAAATGAAAAATATTCAAAATGGTAAATGAACAAATAAATTCAAGAAAATTTTGCCTTTTAGATGACACATCTGGTTCACAGGTGAGATTTAGACTGGACAGCCAGCTGGCGAAAGGGTTTACATATATATATATATATATATATATGCTATTGGCACATGAAACCCCTAGGAGTAAAAACAGAGAGAGAGATGCATTCCACAACCTTTACTCTACTGACCCAGACCCATGTCTAACACTATATCTAGTAATGCAAAAAACTTTGCAAGTCTTCTGGGTTTATATTTTTTTCATTCGGGAGAAATCAAGTACACAGAATAAGGACAGACAGGTATTTCAACAGTTACTAATGGGTCTGAACAACACCCTTCCAGCCCAAATTCAGTACCAAAATTCAGATTTTTTTTTATCTAAAAGTAAATTATCCTGAAATTTCTACACCAAGTGCAAATCATCTTACCTGGAGGATGTTGATGTTTAACACTAAGAGCCTGGAGGGCAAATATGCACTGCATCTCCAATGATTCATTGTTGTCAACATACTTGAGCACCACAGCCAAACGGTTCTTCATTTTGTCCTCAAAGTCTTCAGATACACGAATTGAGGAACCATCATTAGAAGCTGCAGAAAAAAGAAGTCTTGTATCATTCATCAATTAAATAGAACTCAAACACTGTAAAAAGAATGAAGGTTAAGGAAAAAGATTCTTACTGATGATGGACTTAGTTATAAATTTACTAACAAAAGAGACCAATGCAATTCTTACATAAGAGTACTGGATAATTTTTTTTAAATAATGTGTCAATACTATTTAATTAAAACTAATAAGTTAACCAACCTATTGACACTTCAGAGCCACACAGATGACTATTTTGGTCCTATCATTGATGTGGAGTATGGATATTTTAACCTAAGACCAGTCTTCAATGTTACCATTATACAGTACAGTATAAAACAAAGCTGAGAAAGATCCCTCACAAAAAAAGAAATTACCCCTGAGGTATTTTGTCTTGATAAGCATTTCATTGTGGTACAGTATAAGTTATGACAATCCCTTACGCTTCATACCAGACTCCACGAGAATAATAATTCACATAAAGGTATTTTAAAATGGAGACTTGCACTCCCATGGTTGTGCAGTTCACAGGTAACTAACAAATAACTGCTAAGGAAAGTAGCACAGATAGGCAATCCTAATAAAGAAGGGATACATAATCCTCTATTCTCTACCAGAGGATTGGGAGTTCATTTCCACTTTGGAAACATTGCCCAAACCATCACTTATCTTCCAAAGTTTTTGTAAGCACTGTATGGATAAATGTGAATGTCTTCTTGACTTCCACCAGTACAATGTTTAAGTCCTTAAGAAAGTGATCATTCAGTTTGGTTTTTAAGGGTGGATTCTGAAAAAAATACACGTGAAAGCTCTATAACTCTAATATACTGTATACAGGGTTATTTAAAAAGTAAAAAAAATTAAGTCGTGAGCAACACATGGTAAATATAGGAAATAGAAAACCCATTTGTTTTGAATTGTTGCCAGAAGGCACTTCTCATTCTTAACACTAGAGGTGCTGTGGTAGTTAAAATCGCATCCCCAAGAAAAAGATTTGTTATTCAATACAAGAGAAATTCAGCAACAAATGTTCTATGTGGCTTTCGTAGGTTTTTCTATAATAATAAAAAACTTGCAGGTTTTTCTATTATTTAGTATCCAATAAACAAATGGGTTCCAATTTATGAATGTTTAAAAGTGTTTACTGCTTTTCGAATAACCCTGTACAGTATATTAGAGAAAATGCTTATGATTAGAACATGCCATCAATTCAAAAACTCAGGTTATCAACAGTTATTGATACTGATGTAAGTGACTGATCCCACTGACAGGTTTAACGCTTACCTGGGAGATATATAAGAGTGGCTTCCCCTGCCCTTATCGCACTCGCTCAGCCCCCTTTCCTTTTTCTCACAGCAACACCCATCTTGTAAACATCCCTGTGATGCAGCTCTCAAGCTGGTAAGAACCATATTTTTGTGTATTTTACCTTGAAATATGATCCCAGCATAAATCTTGTGATCGAGAGTGGTGGTACTCCAAAGAGAGCAAGGAAAGTAATGTCCGTGAAACAAAATGGAACTGCTTCATCAATTTGCATGTGGGGAAAGTGTAGCGTCCATTGACAGTTATTTTTATGTCAGAGTTAACTGAGACCTAAAAATAAAATTAGAGGTATCAACAGGGCTAAATGTTGCAGGAAGTGCACCGACGACAAAAAAAAAAAACATGCCCTGTGATCCTTCCCTAGACAAATCAAAGAACTTGACCTCTCCAGATCAAGGATGTTACACAATGAGTAGTGACTGATTAGCAAAATAATCCATGCAACAATGAGGCATATATACCACCAAAATTTTTATTGCATGTAGATCATGTTCATTTTTAATCTTTCCAAACTTTCACCCCTCCTTGTATGTCTTCTGAGCATGTGGTGATCTATGCAGAGAACAGGGATGTATGCAGCACAGTGCAACATTGTTAAGATCTTTGGGGCCAGGCAAACAATGTCAGGGGAGTCTGCTTCACTTCATGATTTCTATACAAGTTAAATATTTATCTTTAAGTATAGCAAACACCCTGTACTTATTTCTAACCTTGAGCTGTATATTAAAGGTCTTTTGCTTGTTATATCTCCCAGGAGTCACTTCCCTGTACAATATTTCCCATTAGATCCAGCCATTGACAACCACAGGAAAAGGCCAAAATGTAACCCCTGCAATTGGCAAGATTTTATCTCTTTATATGTTTAAGATAAAGTAATTTGTGAAATTGCAACCAATGGATATTTTTAGACAATAACTGCAACTCACTAGTAGCTTGACTCTCCACTAAGGCGGTCACCAAGGCACGTATGAATTTGCTGCTCTTGGCATCATTCCCAATATTTGCCTGTTGAAAAACAACAACATTAGTTCACATTGTTAGAAGTAAAATTACTCTATAAATAAATCAAAATAAAATGATGTGCTACACATAATTTCTTCATCTAAAAATAGTGCATTACAGTATTTCACCTTTTTCTCCATTTTCCACCATAGTGACACTCAGAAATTACACACACACCTTTCTCCCAATATTTTTACACTATTATATGTGCCACCACACTTCTCACTCCTATATCTCAGGATTTCAAAATATAACTTCTTTCTTCCTCTTTATACACCTAAATTTATTTCACATCCATAATCTTATTATAATTTCATTCATCTTATGAAGTCAATACCACGAAGGTCTTTTCTTTTTTTTTTGGTTACATTCAATAATTTTTCTTATCCTGAATAGTGTATGGCTATATCAAATGCCAATTTAAATGGAGGTCACATGATATCCTCACCTCACCACCTAGAACTTTCCCTCTTTCCCCAAAAGTTAATTTAATATATCATATATAATAAAATAGTGTACAGTGAGAGTACAGAAGTAATGGATAAAGAAAAATATGAATAACTTATCACAAATGCACTACCTAACCCAAAGTTGCAAACCATATTGGAATGTTTTTCACTTTAAAATCATCAGAAAAGTCTCAAATTTCAAACAAACACTCACAATGTCAACCCCAAGACCAGGATGAGGCTCTACAAGCCACAATGTGTCCCAGACTACGCCTCCAACATGAGTCTGGTTGACAAGTCTGACAGCATGATCTCCAGTATAGATTGTGCATGTCAGAAATGAAACTAGTCTTCAATCTTTTGGACATGTCTCGTCCAAAAGCGCACATTCTTTATCTAGTGAACACATGTAAAAAACCTACACTCCATGAGTTTCATTGAATGTGGCAAGGCAGCTTTTGGAGATCAATGCAGAACCTTGTCAGAGACCTAGAGGACGTCGCACAGCTGGTCGCGAACTCCCTTTGCGATTGACTGCTCGACACTTAAGTGATTCCTTCCATTGGGGTAAAGCAGTGTTCCCGGAAAAATTTCATGTGTACCTTACGAGTGAAATCCGTATCAAAGTACGCAATGGCACTCACTATCAGCGTACTCAGTGTGACGTTGCTCTGTATCCGATTCCATGCTTCCAACAATACCACACCCTTCAAAAGTACTAGAGCACAGGAGACATTTGTAAATAGTGTAAACATATATACAGTAATTTATCATTATTTTAGGGTATTGGCACATGTGGTGGTGGCAATGTGACAGAGTATTGGTGGTAAAACTGTACCGTACAATTGGTGGTAAAACTGTACTGTACAAATTTGTGCCTTACCCGATAGCATGTCAAGTGTCAATTCCTAGAAAGTGCCAAGTGAATAACATCTACATATTTGAGTACAATAAATAGTAAAATAAGTGTAGAATTATGTAAATGTAAGTTGTTTTCTGCAAGTGATGTCTGAAACTCACTGCAGCATGCTTGATGTGAGAGCAGAGGCCTCTCTCTCTAAGTTCCATTCCATTTAGAATTGCCACGGTTAAGAAAATACTGTAATAATAATAAAAAATTTGGAATTCCATTTTTCTATTCATCTACCCATCCAGTATAATATAATGACAAGTCTAGCACAAAGGTGGAAATAAAATAAATAGCGAGTGATGTCTCCCAGGTCATGCAGAGACCATGGCAACGTTGGATTTAAAAGGCCAGGGCTTGTTTTCATGGAAACGGAGACGCTACACAACAATTCAGCCAACATGAGACTTTAGTTGCCACTTTTTAACCATTTCACATGATTTTAGACATCATTTTCTAGTATTAAAAAATAAATATTTTTTTTTGCCTTTTTGGTAACCAGAGGGAGGTACTGTATCTAGGTCTATTAACCCTTAGGCCCAGGGTGACGTCCCAAAACGTCCGACCAGCACGCCCCGGGTGACATTTAAGAATGTCCGCCTATTCCCGCCACTGTTTAAAAGCCCAGCACGGGTTATCAGGTTCCAGTGTAACTATTTGCCTGTCACACCACACGCTCGCCCACAAGGAAGCTTCCTGAACATAATTACCTACTTTTGTTTGTTTCATTTTCATTGTTTGTCTATTTTATTATGTTGTATCAAAGTAATATTGCTAAAAGTAGTGTAGTATTACTGTAAAATAATGCTATGATTATGTTATAAATAATTATTAAGATCAGTAAATACATGTATCATTGGCCACCTCGGACACAAAAGCGAGCTAAAATTTGCTGCCAAGTGCGTAAGGACCACGAGCGTCAGCTGTCAAACAAACATTATCTCCTTACCTCCCTCTGCACAGTGAGGGAAGTTTCTAGAGGGTCAATATAAGATATAGTTTTTCTTACTTATTTTTTGTTTTAATCTTTAAAAGGGTTAAAAATTATATTTTGAATTTTTTTCCCATTTACCCCCGTGTGGGGTACTGCCAGCTGCACACTAACCTGGGGCTTAATGGGAACCACATAGGGGTTAATGAGAGAGCAAATTTATATAATATACGAATTAATTTTCAGTGTTTTATAGCAGTAAAACTTTTATCATATTCGACAAAAACTTCAGTTGCCCTTTTTTAAGGTTTAACTGGGAGTTACTTCTATTTAGCATGATACAGTGTGTGTGTGTAATTTTTAGTTTTAGTAAACCATACCTTTGTATATTGTAATGAATTAAAATGTTTGCTCCTAATTAAATTTCATGTAGTTAAGACTGGAGTAGGACTGCTATCTACCAAGACCTATATTATTACATTAATTAAAATTAGAGAGGACTTACATCAATCCAACCGAAGATTTCATCATTAGATGCTCTCTTGAACAGCTTAAGGAACTCTCCCTCAACCTTTTGGGGATTCCATCCACTTTGGTTTCCCAGATTACTACGATCCACTGTGAATTCCACATGCTGGTAGGAGAAATAAATATAAAATATATATATATAAATTGGAAGGGATTCTGGAGAAATACGGAGTGCCAAGAATGAACAGAAATTTATAGCTACAAAAAAAAGTACGGTATGCATAAGTTGACAATGGGGAATACAATACAGTGATTCCCATACCTTTTACAAATCAATCATACATGAATACAGTATATTTTTCGTAAGCAGCACACTGTAGCCACTTTCATTTTAAATATTCATGTCTCCTCATTCCTTCCACAATAAGCCCTTAAGGCAAAATATATAAATTAGGCAAAAGTTATACACGATGTGATAAATTGCAGAGCTGTAATCTGTGTACAGTACACAAAATAAACCGATTTTCAGCCCAAAGAGAGGCAGTGTGTTTAGTTGGAAGAAGTGAGATAGGAGGGGGGTAGTGATTCTTATCAGTAATGTATAGTATTTGTACATACCTTGGCCTGAGAGGAACAAAATTTGGGTGGTGAAAAGTAAACTGTGTGTGTGTGCGCAAACCCAATTCTTGTGGAGACTGTATTAATGACGGCAACTTATGTAAAATACTGTATACAGGGGGGCCCCCAAATTTGTGGCGGTTAAGTTCTCAAAATGGCAGAGAAATTAATTTCCCACATTTCTTGTGCATACTTGCCTGCCTCTCCATTTCCAACTACAGTATACAACTATATGTTCTTTTAAGGCTAATGCTAATCTGTACCTAACAAAATATATGAAAACCAAAACTAAATACTGTATACTATTTACTTACGAATTTTGCGAGGAAGTCTTCAACATTGGCACCAGGGGGAATTATAGAAGACCAACTAAGACCAGAGGAATTCCAAACATCAGCAACCTTATTAGGACTCTGTAATATCAAAAACAAGAAATCAACATCACAAATAAAAAATTTCTTAATAGTTAGTTGCACTAAATTTGAAATACAAAATTAAAATTTGATGTTACTTACCATAATCATTGCAGCCTTTGCTAAAATACTAGCAAATATATTTGCCTTCTTTTTTGAAAAACTGGATAACTCTATAAGTCTTTTTAGAGAGACTGCATTGTCAATCAGGCAGGGAGCTGTAAAGAAAAATGTTTGAGAGGTAAGATAATTTTCTTTTTTGACAATTCACCTAAATTTATTGCCTTGTATTCTATTCTGCAACAAATATTGATCTTAATCATTAGGAAAACATCTACTGTACTATATATGAACAAAGAAGTAATGCTTTTGGAGAAAGTTTCAAACTCTAACCTCCAGTAGTAACATTTCTAATATTTGAAATCTAGTGCTCTTCACATTGTATAGTGGTAAAACATCTTTATGTTAAGTTTTAAAAAGATATCTCCTGTGACTCAGAGTTTTAGTGACCTTGACCTGTTACAAAATCTTTATATTAATAATAAGCACTGTACCTTGTGTTGTAACATTTTCATTAGATGTCTCATAAAAACATCTCTGCATCAGTACCAGAGTTTGTGTGTAGACAATGTTTTAGCTTTAGTAGGAATAGTTACATTAAAAAAATACCTATGATAGACAGACAAGGATAACACTATGTTCTCTCTCTGGTCTGTTCATTTTGACTGTAAACTAAGACTCGAAACATATTCTCCTCTATGGGTTTGTAATTAGTTACCAAGACAAAGGCCACAATTTTGTAGAGATTTTCAAATTTAAATCACCTTATTACTTTAATGTTCTCGTATTTGTTTGGCATTTATGGTATGATGACATTTGCATCAAGTCGGATCACGTGTATCTGAAAATTTTGAACTAGAGCAGGTTTTCTTCAAAGAATGTAAATAATAATGTTAACTTAAACCTTTTACTATGAGATGTGTTATGCACTCTTATAGTTGGATTAGGTCTGAAATACAGTACTGCATTGTAAAACTGTAACCTGATAATTTCTTTGTGGCTAGTCAACCGAAAATTTCAATATCCTGTTTCAATCACCCTCAAAAATGACTAAATAATTGGAAAGGAGTACCTTGAATGTACTCAGACCCATTCAGGTAAATAGTTTAAACATTACTAAAAAAAAAAAAAATTACTGTTGATATAACAGGCATACAAGACTAATGCATGCCTACAACTATTACGGTGTTAAGTGAAATTATTGGGCTTCCCCCATATTACTCCCCTGTGTCTCTTCTCATGACCAGGTGGTGTCACTTGCTGGGTAGCTCCCTTCTCTTAACTCGCTGCCTTTGCTGTTAAGCATGCCAGTCTGAACTAAGTGTCTTATAAAAGCCATTGCCGATTCTCCCACTTCTTCCCTTATTCATTATTTCTTTGCATGTCTCGACATGATTCTATTCTTGTTCTGCCAATTTTACAAGATAGCACGGGGTAAGGCAGTGAGGGGCACTCAAATGATCCTACATGAGGTAACACCCTCCCCCTCCCCCCCTCTTTTCCACCAGCTGCTCGGCCTACACTCACTCACCTCCACAGTAAAGTAAGATGAAGCTAATCAAGAGAAATGAAGCTGGAAGAATATTATATATTAAATACAAATGAATAAGTTAAAGACAAAGAATCAAGATATTTGATAAATTAGTTATGAATATAAAGTACGGTAATGACAAATCATGGGAATATTAGAACAGAGAAACGATAATTAACAAGAACATATAACAATTCATAGTTAATAAAATTAATTTATATATCACAATGGCGGCCAGCACTGTACAAGTTTCTTTGAAATATCGTTCCCACAATGCCTTTGTTCAACATGCTACAAAATGTTATTTTATCAAAGTAAGCATTTCTAGCTTGTTCAGAAAGACTAAATGCTGGGCCTTGAGTAGACAGTAGAACCTCATAGCCATACAGCCTCTTCCTCTCCTCCCCACTATGATGTTGGCAGATATAATTTCTGTATTTGTAGCAAGTGTCCTGGTGTGTCGCTTAACAATAATTTTTGTATGCGTCCCTACGTTTGTGTATAATTCTCCCCATAACATGCTGTGTTAAAAGTGTCACTCGTGTTTAGTACTGGAATTATGAGTACTGTACTGTGACAATCAAATGCGTCATAACCTGAACTCTTCACCCACAACTAAAGTAGTTTCTCCAATCACTCCTCACCAACATTCTCCCTCCTCTACTTCCCCCTTGCTGCCTGCCCTTAACTTGGGATAACCCTCACCACTTCTCCATCTCCAATACTGCTTTCCTCTCACCACCAAATTCTTCATCACTAAATAAGAAGTTAATAACCATACCTCTTGAATCGTTGAAAATACAAGTGACACATGAAGTGAATCAAGAGGAAGGAAGCTGGAAAAATATCCTATACACTACATTTAATACAAATACAGCTCCTCCCCGACCTACGACCACCTCAGTCGTACCAAAATTGTCAAATTACATATTTTCGAGTCCCAACGTCAGTGATTGCGCTGTGCTGACAAAATTTTCGTTTATAATTCACTTTAAAATGGCTGGCAAGCTTAAAAGTGAGTTTTGTGGTGCTGAGAAGAAAAAGAGACACCCTTTTAGATTTTCTATGTATTATTCAAGCATTTTTGACTTGCTATCTGGATTTGGGTCCCTAACCCCGTCATAAGTCGGGGAGGAACTGTACAGGATATTGTGACCAACTAAAATGCCAGTGATATATATTCATAGGTTCATTTGGTGCCTGGAAAATAAATAAATAAATAAAATAAAATAAATTCCCAGGGGCTTCGTTTACATAGTGCGAGCAACTGACCAGCCAGCGCCCATGCCTGTCTCGAAGCTGCTGTACAGTATTTGCGTCATTCACATGAGGATTATGAGAAGGGAAGGAGCTGTTTATGTATTATATAACTATTTTTTGTGCACTACCTAAGCATTACTGTATTTTTTATTAGGTTTGATATTTAGTGTTTAATAAAGTCTGTTACCAAACTATATTTCATATAAACAAAAAAATTCAGTATACCCTGTACATGTATTATCTGGACTGAAAATATAAACTTTCATATACACCGAATAAAATTCGGTGTTAGACGAGTTTTTTTTGCATCCGTTTTATTTTGGTCTAAAGAAGTAATACTGTACAACCTTACAGGTCTACCAGTGCAGAAGTAGTAATGTTTTACAAGATTTCACAGAAACAAGGTTACACAGTTGGTGTCACTAATATGTAGCTATCCTCTGATGGATTCCTCAATCCTTTAACCGACCAATGACACTATTTACGTCACTATGTGGACTGTTAGAAGCGAGATGTCTGCCTAGACCCTTAACGCTCACACAGGCTGTAAGATATCTTTCTACCATCATTTTCAGCTATCCCTTACCATTTATACAGCTATTTTGCTATTTTATTACTTAGTATCTTTGTAATATCATAAAATAGGGAGAAAATTTGCGCAATTTTATCAGAACATGAAAAAATTAAAAGAAAAATCTATGCATCATTGATTGGTCTAGGCAAGATTTAGATTGGAGAGCCAGCTGGTGAAAGGCCACCACCCAAGGTCAAAACAAGTACAGGAAAAATAGAGCAAAGGAAATGCACCTTTTCCATTAGGTTGGGGAAGATTCGTGGAAAATATAAAGTAAAAATTCTAAAATGAACAAGAAACTAATGACTTAAAAGTATATTCACAAAAATAACCAGATACTTACCAAATATTTCTCCTAGATAGTCATACACTTGAGGAATGTCAATCTCATATTCCTCTGTCATTCTTAGTGCACTCTGAGAACTGAAATAAAAAGTTTGAATAACATTAGTATTTTATATGATGACTATTACACACATTATGGGAAAGTTGCTATTTTTTCAACAATATCCTTAAAACTAGATAAAGAAATAGTGGGGGGGAGAAACAAGGGAGAATAAGGGGAGGGGGAGGAGAAAAGAGGAGGGAATACGGGGCAGCTAGAAAAAGGAGGGGGGAGGAACAAAGGGAAAAAGATGGGAGAGGTAAAAGAAGAGGGGAGAAGGAGAGGAGAGATAGAAGGGGATGAGAGAATGAAAAAGAAAGAAAGAAAAAGAAAGACAGAGAGGGAGGGTGAGGGGAGGAGGAAAAAGTCTCGTGTTCCACTTTACAGGAAAAACAGTGTTTAAATGCAGGTTAAGTAATCAGACACTACAAAACATATCTACACCACTAACTGGCATAGTATAAAGACATTTCTGGCGAGAAAATAATGCTGGAAGTAATTAAACCATAAGTGGTGAAAGTTAAATGCTCTCCAGAGGTTTTATATGGAGTAAAATGTATTCAAGTTTGTTCTTTACACTGACAGGGCAATACAAGAGATGAAAAGTCCAAATTTCAACAATAATTTTAAAGTCGCAAAAATGGGAGGCGTGTCAACTGCCGTTTGAAAGAAATTTTACAATTGTTTGCGAATGTGTTTGCAAGTTCAGTATGTATATGAGGAAAAGTTATGAGTGAAAATAAATAGGGAAGGGCTAATTATTATTTTAATGAAGGAAGCAGTGTGCCAATAAAGGAACAACATGTGATTAATTGAACAACAGTGTATTAAAAAGGAGTAATAATTGGAATGAGATATGTATGGAGAACCTTACCAAGAGAGGTAAAGATGAGTATGTACAAGGGTACTGTTGAGCAGACATTATGTGAATGTGAAGCATAAGACTCTGGATTTAAAAAGAAAGAGTGCAGTGAGAAACACACTGATAAGGCTGTGGAAGAGACAAGTGGTGACCACAGAACAGATCAGGGTCTGCTTAGGTGGTATAGATACAGTGAGAAAATGAGAAGTGAAAAATTGGCAACAAAGACAGTGTACCGGATGTCTCATAGGTCACACATCATAGGAAAATTAATATTTATTTTCCACGTGAAGAATTGACAATGCAATGAGGATGGAACAATTAAAACTTGAGGGAGGAGTCCTAATAAGTTCAAAAAGAAATTATTTGATAACCATATGCTTGGGTGTTGTTAATCTGGGTTTCTGTAAATGAATATTAAAACTGCCTCTTTCCTCTCATGTCAAATTTTCTGCCATCATCATTGATTTGTTAGGATTCCCTCATGTAGAGGGACAAAATTTTCCTTTGGTATGTGACCTATGAGAAACACTATATAACTCAGAGGTAGATAGTAAAATGAAAAGGGGAAACCAAAGAGATGGAATGGGGTGAAGGTCAAACCACAATGAGGAAGCTGCAGTGTCCATGAAATACCTTGAGGTCTTGTTGTGGGAAGTACCATAGCATGACACATATTTCATAAATACAAAAGAGGGAGGGAGGGAAGATTATATTTGCAAATTTTTTACAATCTTGCTAAGAGGAAATATGCTGAAAAATATAATTTAGGTGTACTGCACTGTATATACAAACACTTACCCTTCAAGTAACTGATCCACTGAGAGAAGACTTTCTACAATAAGGTCATGGTATAACTGACCGACCATTCTTCTTTTCTTGGCATCACGGTCTAAAACCCATTCAAACGTACTCTGCACGAAATATTTAATAGTGTTTGGTGCAAACTTCTCCCTTATACACAGCTTTGCCTCCTGTAAGAATATATTGGTTGTTAAGCAAAACAATTTATCAACTTAATCATTACCCCTATCCTTAATTATGTGAAATACAAAACATTAATTTTACTAGCACTTTCTTACTCCTACAGAAGTAGCCGATTCAATTTTGTTACCGTCACTTCCACTCCCTTGCAAGATATTACCATGATACACTCCAAACAAATCTAAAAACCTTGTATTTTTTACCAACACAGTATACTGTTCAGAAGTTCAACATTGGTACTGCTGATGTATGCCAAATGCTCAGGGCACTGTCAAAAACAAACATTTTGAGGGGAATTCTATAATAAAAAAAAATCAGCAATTCACCTTTAATTAAGGGTAAAAATAATAATAAAGGATACCAAATAATACATGACTTATTAATCATTAAGATGCATGACTGCCTGTCATCTGAGACTTCTTAACGACTTTTCATCACCTCTATAGATGTAATGTAAAAAAAAAAAAAAAGGAAAAACCAAGGGAGGATACGAAGAGTGCATGGTACTGTACTAACGATGTGGAGTATAAAAAGGGGGGAGGGGGGAGGGGAGCAATAAACAGCCCTACTACACTCACACTTTTCATATCCCCAACTGTCACAAAATGTAAGCAAGAGGTATTTCTCCAATTAATTCAGGAAATACCGAGTCGTCATGCTCATTCATTCTAATGCTTACATGTACCAGTTCAACAAGTGTTTCTTATACAATACCCCTCTGACCTCCCTTACTTGGATTTCTTCTCACTCCAAAATCTGAAGTCCTGCAGTCTTACCCATTTTTCACCCATCATGCCCTCTCTTAAGCTTGCTACCTTCTTGTATTCTCACCCATTCAGTTTTCCAAAGAGAAGGGGGAGGGGCAGGCAGAGGAAAGGGAGAAGAGGAGAAAGGGAGAAAAGGGAGGGGAGGAGAAAGGGAGAAAAGGAGAAAGGGAGAAAAGGGAGGGGAGGAGCAGGAAAGGAAAGAAGGGGAAAGGGAGAAAGAAGATAGAAGAAAGAGGGAAGAGGAGAGGAGGCCTCTATTGTTTCTTGTGTACATAAATCTTGACACACACACACACACACGAAATACGAATATATAATCACTGAATGACGCTTAAATAAATTATATAATACATACATTCATTAAAAAAAAATTTAATGCTCCTGAATTTCAGTCATTTACTACAGTTTTCCATGCAGGGCTTAACTTTGTCACACTGAGCAGAGGACAAAATCTCAGTTTTCAATCTACTATGAAGTGAAGATATAGAAAAAGATGGTATAAATATACCTGCCCGAATTTCAACATACTCTTTCCTTAAAAAGCTACAAATACTATTAGTTTCACTTCTAACCCCAGGATCAGCATTATGGGTGTATTCTTCAATAATGGCATTCGCAAACTTTTCTGCCGTTATTTCATCAATTGATTGATATCCTCTCAAGGCATCACCAGTTTCACGAGGTACAGAACTGTCTCTGGATTCTGGACGACTAGTAGATTTGCTGCGATCTGGAGGAATGAATTTATTATTTAATTTCTTACTTATATATAAAGTACTGTATTAAAAATTTTTATAGAAGATGTACAGGGGGTCCCCGGTTTATGAACAAGGTCCGTTCCTGAGGAAGCCCTTAATCAGAACACACGTTATGTGCATACCACTGTTACAGAACATGTTTAAAATCCCAATATATCATAACATAAGTCCTTATATACATTTAAAATAACTTAATTTAAGGAAAAAGAAGAAAGAATGACAAAATGCAGTAAATGAAACTATAAAAATAAGTCGGCACAAATAAAATACTGTCAATTTTAAGTTTAACCCCGTTCGTAAGAATGGGACCCCCTGCAATCAAATTACTCTCTAACCTTCAACCTAAAAAAAAAACAATAGTCTTCACATGTTGTGCAAATATAAGAATCCACATGCTGGAAGCCAAACTTTGTCTAATGAGATGATGTAGAGTATCTCAATATTGTACAAATCTCAAAATTGCTTTTACATTAACTAAATATTCACTGCCTGAATCTTACACTACACAAATAATTACCTTGTCCAACGAATTTCTTGACAGCTGAAATTGCACTCTCTTTGTCATTGGAGGGAGGTGGCATACTCTTACTGCCAAACCCACCTTGCCGGGCAGGGGCACCACCAGGAGGAAGACGGTTTCCACTGAAAAAAAGAAAGAAGCATTTAAGATATCACTACCATTGATAATTACAGTTTCTTATACGGCTCTATAACAGGCATGGGCCACCGGTGGCCAAGACCTTGTGTTTGTGTGGCCCGTGGAGTGATTGAGAAATTCTATTTAATGTGTCCCGTGGTTCAGGTAGATGCAGCCAGTTTACGGTGAGTAAAGCAATAATTATTAAAAGAATAATCTTCACACACAATTCATTACGGTTTCACCACCTAAGTGCAAGTAGCTACAAGTCCAAGTGGGGTCACTGGTGGTGGTTACACAAGGTTTAACTAATTAAGTACCTCCAGAGTAACACAAAAACACCCAAATCGCACCTCGAAAACCCATAGTTGGCGAGTAATTAGCATTGAAATGTAATTACATTTTTCAAACACTCAATACGACCACTAATTACCCCACAATCGAAGAGTGGACCACAAATTTGGAGAGGTGTGCCTATAGGGTGTTTCATTGTACAGTGAGTTCTGCCATAACGCGTGTTTTGATAACGCGAATTTGCTCTAACGCGATTTATGAATTCGGAACAATATTTGTATAACGCGAACGCTTGTTTGCTATAACGCGATTTTGGCTTACTATTTCTCCAATTTTGTGGTATTAACTGTGAATATGGTAAAGAAGAATATCTCCAAAAAGCGTTCTGATGATAGAATTCCCGGTGATTATCGTAAAAGAAAGGATATAACACTTGAAGAGAAGCTCGATGTTATCAACCTCAAAATCACCCTTCTCCCCCATCAAGTTACATTCATATTTTTTCAAGGTAAAGTGTTAAATTTACTGTATGATTTCATTATTAGATATGAATGTAACATTTATTTAGACTGTGCTATCCTTTGTGTTAGGCTAACTACTAAATTTTTTCGATTTCGAGTAATCTGCACCTAACCCTATTTTCTCCATAAGCCCTGTTATTTCTATTACGCGATTTTCTATAACACGATATTTTACAAGAACACAATTATCGCGTTATAGCAGAACTACCTGTAGTTCTTCATATGCCAAGATTAACATTCGCATTATTCTGGTGGGTGTGTCGTATGTAAGAAAAATGCTTTAACTGTAGGAAAAAATCAACATATTCACAGACTGCTTCACTGATCTTCTGTTAAATGCCAAGAAACATGAACATATTTGTTTCACAAATGGGAACAAGACATTGTAAACTAAAAATATCTTGAGGTGGATGTGACGATAAACTGCTTCACTGTCTGTGCTAATACAATATTAACATTACTTTTGGGTTTGGTAGGATATAAATTTTGGTGGGTAGGCCCGCAGAAAGATACCTAAATCGTAATGCAGCCCATGACTGAGGAATAGTTGCCCATGCCTACATCAAATACCTGTACTGTACTATCTATCAAAACCACAAACTTACCCCATTGAAGGTGTTCCTCTTCTGTTATCTCCCGGTATGGCGTTGCCTCCCATACTGTCCATTAATACATTGAAACGGTTGCTCTCTTGTTGCTTTCCTTCATCATGGTCCTTCAAGCCTCCACCTAAGCTGCCACGTGCCCAATTTCCAAAACCGGTACCTCTTAATGTTACTTCCTTTGATTCTGCAGCACCAGGCTGATGGAAACAAAGATGGTACAGTAGTTAAAATATCATTTGAAAATTAACTGGTAATGACAAACCAAATCTTTACACATGTAGGAGCCACCCTCTGAAAATAAGCCTGGGAATGAATTGCCCCAATTGAAAATAGATGGGCAATGGCGAGTTTCTAATGGTGGTGATGTCTCGGGTCACTCATCAATGACCTATTAACCATTAAATGAGTGGACCACATTACAAAACTAAGGAATCTGATATAAAGTTATCTAATGAGTAATAAATCACAGAAAAGAAAATTGCAGATAAAATACCTTGTCACTAAAGACCAAAGAGACAAAATAAAATGTACTGTATTATGGAAACAATCAAAATACAGTATAAAGATTAAAGACGCTGAACTTTGCACAGCGGTCATCCTAACTATCTTTTGATCAGAAAAACATTACTGAACCATATAAGCTAAGCAGACACGCATGGTAAGAAAAACACCAAAAAATGAGAAACTGCATTAATATAATACAAAAGAATGCATATTCATAACAACACACAAACAATTGCTAACTCACCCTACTAAATGTGTTCTTTAGACGTGAAGAATCGAAAGAAGTTCTTCCCTTGGTTGAGGCAACTGTGTTCCAACCATCGTCAGACATCTGTGGGCCTCTATTATCCCGACTACGTCTGCGGTCCCGGTCACGATCCCGGTCATCTCTTCTATTAGTATTAGATGCCAAAGCGATCTGTTGCTCAATTTCTTCCCTCTTGAATTCCTATAAAGTTAATACATGAAGTAAACGATTTTGGAGAGAAAACAAATGTGACACGAATAAATGAGAGAAAAAATTAACAAGCCAACCGTCACAGCCTATAAAGGTTTGAGTCCTTGACCTCAATAAGGTAATGCATGTTTGTCCTGTACTATACTATGCAGTGATTTATACACTCACCCTATTAAATCTCCCACAAAAAGAAGCTAACCATACTTCGAAGATAAGAAGTTCATAGCAATCAATGATATATTACACCATTAAGGGTTTCAGACACCGAGGGTAGAATTGAATCATCGGTCCTCTGAACTTCAACATCAGCCATCCCAAACTTGGTAATCTACAGAGGTACACTAACCTGTCTAAGATTAGCATTAAACCAGAGCTTCCTTGTGTACAGGTTACTGTGACCTGAGACAGTTGTTCAGGTTTAAGCATTTTGTAACTAGAAGTCAATAATTGAAAGAATTCATTTGTTATGCTCATAACAAAACTTCTCTTCCCTTATACAGTACCCTACTGAGAGGATATCCTTCAGGATGTAGTAGGAAGGTTATGGATAAACTGGTAATCTATTTAGTTTTAAAACCTTGTTACAAGTTGGGTCCCCGAGGCCTTTGGTATCAACCTCTAGCCTTGTTGTCTGTAGTTAAAAGATCCCGACTTTGTGAATTAAAGTAAAATAGTTAACTAACAAGGCATAGATGGTGGTAGAAGGATACACTGAAAAAACAGACAGCTATAAATGGCTTGCTCAGGGTGACAAGAATAACACCAACCATGCAGACAGAATAGATCCCTACAGACACTACTCACCTCTTAAGATATATTGTGCAATACTGTACATTCAATGAAATATTGCCAGTAAAAAAAAAAAGGAAAGAAAAAGAAACCTATATACTGATACCTGTAAGTGGATATACAGGGTGGTCAATGGAAGGTTCCTGGATCTTGACATGGGACCCCAACAGAAAATTTAAAGCATCTTTGAAAGTCTATATTGAGCTTAACAGTAAGTGCTATACTAAAAATTAATATGCAGTACAAATTCAGCCATAAGAAATTCTGCATTTTCTTTTAATACTGGCAAAGACAAACTGGGCTATAATAAGAAGGAAGATTAAAGTGCATCACATACCTCTTGAACCTGAGCCTTGGTCTTTGGCTTACTGTCTTCTCTTCTTGGAATCCAATTATTTTGGCGAAGATCAATGACATCCATCATTAGAAATCGCACCCGGCTGTTTGTCTGACGCTCATTGACAACCCTGTCCATGTGTTTGAAGTGCTTGTCCAACTCAGACTTTAACAAAAGATAAACATAGGTAAATACATTACCTGAAATTTTAGTCCATACTCCAAGGAGTAGGCCTACTTTTTTCATTAACATTTTATAGTAAGTGGTTTCACAAAAATAGCATGAAAATAACAGCATATCTTAATTTAAGCTTTTAAAATTTGTTTTTCTTAACCCTTAGGCCCAGGGTAACGTTCCAAAACATCCGCCCATTTTCCCGTCATTTTTTTTATTAACTTTGGAAAAGTTGATTTTTTTTCACGATTTAACCCCGCAGGAGGGTGTACTGCCAGCAGCACCCTAACCCGGGGCTTAAGGGTTAAGTAATTACTTCAAATTTACAGAGATTTCACAAAAAATATCACAAATACAAAACTATTCAGGCTAACTCACCATTGCCTTTGGTTGCTGAGCACACTGACTTTCAAGGATCTTACCAATGGTAGTAAGTAATTTACAGAGGCACTCTAAAGATTCCTCATCTCCTTTTTCTAATAGAGTGCCAATAATGCGCATCATAATTGGAGATGTCAGCATACGTAACTTGTAAAGCTCACCAATAAATCTGATATTACCTACAGATCGTTTTCTCATTTTTGTCTCTTCATAATCAAATTTGGCTAGCAGTTCTAATTTCTTTTCAGGCTGCAAAAAATATATAATTTAATTAATAAAAGGGGTGGGTGAATAACAGAAATGCACTATCAATAGTCATGAAAATGGAGGTTTTGTTACTAAAAACGTAACCAATTATGAAGTATGGAAGTGCAACTTATATACAGTACATGAATACGTAAGCTTACAATATTTCCCCAATAAATCCTTTATCCGTGGATATTGACTACCTAATGACAACCTTTGCTCAAAATGAGAGATTACAGGTCACAGTTTGCCCAAAGACATGGGAATGTCACAATCCATGGTGCACAGCTCATGTTTTCCAAAGCACAGTCTGCAACCTCACTGATGGCACCTTCAACCACATTTGCAGTAACAATCCCCTCTCTCCAGGGACATCCATGGGAGGTGGGCAGGAGCTGGATTGATTCTGAATTTCTCTTGTTGGCAAGAGCCTTAAGCTTCAGTCACAGTCCTGAACTGGAATACCCCTAAAAATTGACAAACACACATGAAGAACACCCTTTAGATCAAGCATGGGTAACCCACGGCCTGTGGGCCGCATGCGGCCCAAACCATGTCTTTGTGCGGCTCGCGAATTGATTGAGAAATTCTATTTAATGTTCAGGTAGTTGCGGCCTGTTTATGGCGAGTATAACAATATTTATTAAAAGACTAATCTTCAGACACAATCCATTACCGTTTCATCACCTAGGAGTGAGTAATTGCAAAAATGTAAGTGAAATAAGTATATACATGTACAGCATAGTCGGCAATATAAACATTTTAACTTGTGTTAGTTCAGGGGCCCAGTTCGGCACAGTCTGTTTGATGGATTAGCCGTTATGTGGCAGTGGGTCAATTGTCACTCATCTTCTGTTAAATGCCAAGAAACATAAAATTTTATTTAAAAAATTATGCTAGATTTGTTTCACAAATGGGGAAAAGACTGAAAATATCTTATGGAGGACATGATAAACTGTTTCTGTCCATGCTAATACAATATTAACATTACTTTTACAGGGAGGTGGGATTCCAGACCCTCCCCTCAGAAAATTGCAATACTTTTTCTTTAATGAAGTACATATATTGTACTCAGGTGTTTTTGATTAGTAAAAAGTAATTACTATTGACCTTGGAATATTTCTTAATACCAAGTGCACATGGCTTCAAAATGGCCTCAAAATGCCCATGATATTGGTCAGATTTATTTAAAAAAAGGCTGGGTGGGCTAGCTATACTTGTGTTGTTCCCCCACGTACAAAGTGTCCAAGAGCATACCAACCCCACATGAGATACTTGCATATTACAGGATGATATCCAAGTACAGACTTTACTCATATTAGAACACTGTAGCCTTATTTTAAGGTCAAAATTAATATAAGTCTATTCTATGGTAAGTGCTGAGCAATCCAAGGATGTTAACCTTCATAACACAAGAAAGAACTACTATACGGTAAAAACAAATTCAGATTTTCCTTACGGTCACATCGGCTAACATTTCAATCTCCACACGCTTTTCAGCCTTAAATTCATCCGTGTTATCCTTTTCAAATTCCTTTTGACACTTGTTTATGATGAGGTTCCTGAACTTAACCTCGGATTTGCCAGGGTTTCCAGTTTCCATGCCATTTCCTCGTACGGACATTAAGGAGAGAACCTGACACATCTCTGCATAAGTAGAGGAGAACCCTTGTTCATCTACAGCCTGAAAGGTTAAAAGAAAAAATAAGGATCACTTTCAATAAATAATGACAGATGATTTCAATTTTATAAAAGCAGAACAGAATTATGAAAAACAAAAAAAAATAATCCTTAACTTATTTACCCAAGATCAAATAACTTTCCTATCATTTCCACATGTTCAAAATTTTCTCCCATATACTGTACTGTAGACATTATCATTATTTCTCTGGCATACAGTGTGTATTCTTCAAACCTCATCATCTAATTTCTAACTGGTCATTTTCTTCTTCCTAACTCAAACTATTCCTCTATAACATTTCTCAGCTCAATAAAATCATAGGACAGATATATCACACTCTCATCCATATTTCTCAAGATCTAAGACACCTTCTCATATCTAATACCAATAGCATCCTGAGACAGAAATAAAAGAAAGATCTTTAAGAAAATACCTTTTCAAAAATGAGGTCAATAACAGCAGAAAGTCTTTCTGTAGTGTTGATGGGCAGCGTCTTCACTGTGTCAACTAGTCTTGCAAACTTCTCTGGTGTAAGTTTGTTAAGGATACCTCTCATTACTTTCACCACCTAGAAAGAATTAAAATAATAGCAACAACATGAATGAAGGATATTTTACATCACAGACAATTAAATGTCTTCATGGTTACAATGAAGACAGATGTAGGAAACAATAATGCAGTGGCATCTATGTATTGTCAAAAAATCAAATTTAATGCAAATGGGAAAGGATGCAAGAAAAATTATTACATTACAAAGTCAGAAACATTTGAAGATGGACAAGTAGATGGTGACTGCTTCAGTAATTCCTCTGCAGCTGGGGCACCAGAAATAGAATTCCAATATGGAGGAGGATAGTGTGGCATAAGCATAATGGGGAAGGAATTGGTGATATTCCCATCAAATAAAAAGTAACTAAACATACCTCATCTGTCTTTGTATCTTCTGAAGTTTTGCTTTCCTTCACTGATGGTTTCCAGGCATTTTCCGTAGTCTTAAGTTTTGATTCTCGTCCAGTCGAGGGAATAACTATTATTTTTGCCTGACCACTACGGCCACCACCACCACCCCTGTTCACCGGACCACCACCTGTTTCACGACGCTGCTGACTATTGCGCCCAACCATTCTTGGTTGCTGTAAATATAAATGCTCCTACAACAACTCATTTTAAAGTTATATATGTCCCAATCACTCAAAACAGACTATCATTCAGTAATCTCTATTACAACTCAATATAATTAAACCAATGAAGATTCAACCAGAAAATAATACTACCTTATTTCCCATTGCAGATTTAACATAATCTGGAGTGAAGTCTGGACCACCCCCAACATGAGTCGCAAGGCCACGGGGATCAAAACCTTTATGCTGGAGTGAAAACAAATAAATAAATGACAACTTTACATACTGTATAAAGCAATTTGCACACATGCACAAAAAAATACAAAAATTAAACTGCATGTATGTGTAATACTAAACAAGGTTTACTACTGGGAATCGTGTACCTATATTCACTGCATCTCCGATCACAATGTAAAGATGCAATACAAGTTTCAGTTGCACAATAATCATGTTTACTGTAGACATAAGAAGTGAAACCCATAAACAATATATCACCATGTATGATAACATAGAACAGATTGATAGAAGCCACTACAGAGTTTCTCGTGTACAGGTATTTATTTTCTATAAGGGATTCTTTAGTTTTTGCAATGCTTAGTTCTAGATCTTGGTTGGATCAGCCTACACCATTGATATTTGTGTTAGGTAGCAGGTCATATTGTGCTTTGGAAAAAACAAGAGTTCTAGCAAACCAAAGGCACAAGTTCCCACACACACACAGATACAAGTTCCCATTTTTCTCCCACATACTACCAGACACTCGTTCATTTTCTTTCTAACAAGACCTTACACAATTTTATTGTGTGGTGACAACCCAATCCGGGCATACTGTACTGTAACTATAAGAGAATGTTTCCCCACACAATGCTTGACCAGAGTAAGTTTTAACTCACCCGTCCAGGTCCATCCCTCACCACCTCTAGATTGGGAAGTGACTCTGGCTTTTTGAGCGAAAGCGGATTATTTTGCAACTCCAATAGAAATCTTCTATCATACTGACGCTTCCCTTCTGGATTAACTGGACTCCACTGGTCTGAAACAATAGTTAAGAAAATAATAATACCTGTACTTACCATTTTTGTCAACATGAAATAAAAACTGTAATCAACATTATATTGAGAATACACTGTAATGATAAAATGCTTATTCATTATACATCTAATAATGAAATGATATTTATTTCATGAACTTAGGATAACCTGAAGTGAGTTACAGTACGGTATATCCTAATTTATGGAGAGAACCAAGTCCAATTTATTTTCCCCTTTCAATAGACTAAATAGATAATAAGGATTGATCCTGAAATTTCAATTTACTTCAGAGCAATTATGATGAAACCCACAACTTGTCTGGAACCCAAACAACAAATAATTAAATAAATTCTCCTTTCACAACAAATTCCAATAAACACGAAGTCTAAAAATTTCCAATCATGAGAGAAGGTCCAGTCTTCACTGCTGAGCATAAATACACATTCTCACAAGTCCACTGGCTGGACCAGCAGAGAAGATGATAGTGAAAAGAAAAAAGGAGAAGAGAAAAAAAAAGAGGAGGGGGGTTTGTGAACAAAGCTGCATCATAAGGGGTTGCATAGAACTCATGGGGTCACCTGGGTCTTGCAGCAATCACTTTTCTTTTAAGTCCAGGTGTCAAGAACTGAAGGACATGGCCTGCAGGTGCTGTCTCATTAAGTTGGAACCATAAATTATGGTCAAGGGATTAATGCAGTTACTCTCCTTGTGTCAGGTCAGATCAGTCCAGGTCAAGCATACCTTGCTGACACGTTTCACGACAGAAGTTCAACAGTCCAACCTTTGAAATGTTCTCAACTCACTTAACTCTCAACTTCATACAGATGCAGACAAAATGAAAGCTAATTTCAATAAAAGATTCCCCAAAATTCTTTTCTTGATTTTGTACAGTTTTCCGTCAAGACAGATGTAAAACAGTGTGGTTATTTTGCGCTCCAAATGGCAGAATTACAGGCTGACAACAAGGCAAGGGTGAATCTTGACATCTATGATGACATTGCAAAGGTGTGGATTACTTTATCAAAGTTTTGGTACAATTTGGAGGCACCTTTGTCTGTGAGACAGCTTTCTCATCAATGGTGTTTATAAATACTGATTACCATAAGTGTAATTCAAACTACAACTTAGAAATTAGTATGCAATGTTGCTTAACCTCATATACCCTCAGGTATAGAAAATTAATCAAACGATGAGGTACACATGTCGAATATGAAATAAGACAAAGATGTAACTAACAAAATTATATGTTAGGTTGTTTAACCATGTTATTACCCCAGGCATAGAAATTAATTGAGGATTTAAACATGTAACATACTAAACATAAGAAGAGTTGCAACCCATTTCTGCCATTGTTTACTTTGACTTCTCAATTATGTAATACATTTTCCTTGTTTTTACACCACCAAATGGGGTTGCACTGGAAAATGCTTGGAAACCTCTAGTCTGGATGGTTACTAAATGACCCAAGAGGTACAAGGACCCAGTTCCTTGCATCAGCAAATCAACATGGAGGAGAGAGGGATGCCTGTAAGCTCAATCCCTATAAGCCAAGAAGGCAGAAGCTAACAGCATTTATCAGATGCCAAGCTTAGCTTGCACCCTTAATGGGAGCAACATTACCAAATTCAGTTACTGTATATGCCAGTCTTATATTAAGAATAAAAGGAATCAACAAAGTTATTAATCATAAGTTCTCCAGAGCCAAGCAATCGCAAGATGTAACAACTATCTGAAGTAGCCATCACCCAGGTCCTTTCTGCAAGACAGACTTATGCTTGCTATTCAGGACATTCAACTAGGACAGTGTCCTAAAGATCTTTTGTCATCCGCGAAATAAAAATACGCGAATTATCCGGGCATACTGTACCTTGAACTAGCAACTGATCACTCAAACAAAACTAGGAACTTCTTATAAAGCCAAAAAATAATAAAATAAAATAAACTCAATACAATACAATCCTTTTGATGAAGACGGTCAACCAAATCTCTTCAAATTCAATCTCACCAGCTGAATAAATGTCATCCTGAACCTAACTTAACTTCATTCATCTACTTGAGGACAAATTGCTCTTTGATCTCCCTAAAAATTTAAGAATGTAGAAAAGCTAAAACCTAAAATGAACCTTCATCTGAAAGCTGAAGCAAGCTTTAATGTGAAATTTCCATCACAATCTGAAGGATATCTAAATTCCTCTTGGACAGAACCGATATTAAATTATCTTATCTTTCACCTTCATCCTTCCCAAATAATTTTGAATGCCCAAACTTTCTGCTTCCAGCATCCTTTAAAATGAGTTTATCTGTCACCCAGTGACAGATCCCCAACTCCTGTCACCATACTAACAAATACACCCTCCCCCCTCTTATTCCAAGAGAACACTAAGCCTAAACACAGAAAATATCTAAAGTCCAAAGCCAGTAGAGTGGCATCCCCTAGAAAGACCTGAAACAAGTACAATACAAGTTAAGTTGCCAGATTCCTACTGTCAACTCCTGTATACTGTACTGTATATGGCTAATCAGAAAGTTACAACTCCCACAGTTGGCTAAACTATTTTAGTTGAATTATAATGTGTTTACTACTTTTAAATGATAAATTATAAGTATTTAAGGATTACCTATTTATATAATAGATCACTAATTACAATAATATATCAAGCCAAGAGACAGTTGCATCTAAACTAGAATCTCTCCACACCACTCGGGTCAAATTCAACCTCAAACAAAAAACTGGCAAAAAATTACTACCAACACTTGCATCCATCCTGGTTAAACTCAAACTGAACATTATCCAGGAGCACTGAAAAAAAAACTGTCCTTAAATTCACTCCCATACAATTAACAAAAAGTCTGTGTTTAGCAAACATACCTGCAGCAAATTACATAGAATGCACTGTCCAATCAGAAAAATAAGAAACAAACCTCATAAGACCACACAAGAGAACACCAGCAAACAAATTTTGGACTCGGTGGATGTAATGACAACAATGAGGAATTCCCCAGAGATCCCTTCATGATGCATTACCTGGGTTATGGACCTAAAAACGTGCCCCTATGGAGGAGGAGTCACTTGGACTAGCATGAAAAATGACAAAGCTGCCTATAATAAACCCTAAATCAGAACACGTGCACACCCGACATGCTTCCAAATGAAACATCCCTGAAACTCTGTACCAGAAAACTCCCTCCTAGGAGATTAAAAATATTCACTTGTCTAAAGCCAGATACTAGCTACACCTGGCACAAAACTATCAATAAAATATGCTAAATTGTGCACCGAGGGTTGTGGCTAGAACACCAGACAAGTTAGACCCATTTAGCACCTCCCAACCTCACCAGCAAAACCATAGACGATTGGTAAAAACAGCCCAAAAACGTTTAGAGTGGAGGACTGGTCGCCAACCCTCAGATATGAGGATGGTACTCCGATTGATTGAACTTAGCCAACAACCAAGACATACACAATACTGATGCCTAGGACTGAGTGGCAACATTTAGCAATGTATTTTAGTGCAAAAAGTAATACAAGCATTACTTAGCTGCCTTCATAACCAGAGTAAACACTGGTCTGTGCTTAGCAGCAGCATGCCTGGTGCTGAAGAACTAATTAATGTACATCATTATGTAACTAACCTCGCTAAAGTATATCACACAGTGAGTGTCTATGCTTGGCAGTAGACTTACACCCTTCTCCCATTAGTGTGCACATACGTGCGTGCGTGTGTGTGTGTAGAAAAACATTATACCAATGTTCACCTGTTATTGCCTGTATGTATTTAAGTACTTATGTTCACCTCAAAACCACAGTCCACAAACATTCATCACCAAAATCACTCCCAGAGAAGCATTAATGATTACATACCGGGTAATCAAAGAGAAAAGAATATATCTCGTCTAATAACTATTATTCTTACTTCACACTGTAAAGAATTTAAAGTAAGCACTCATAATAATACAAGTACAAAACTGCTTTAAACTTTTTTTTACTCTTAAGCTTATCCCTGTCCTACAATACTCGAGGTCTATTCCCTCGTGGTAAAAATCAGCTCATTATTTTTTCCCGGTACAGGTGCTCCTCTACTATGAACGAGTTACGTTCCCGAGGCTTGTATGTAAGTCCAACTTTACTTTTGTAGATACCAAACATATTGTAAGAAATGAAAGATTATGGATATTTAGTACAGCTATACCCTTTAATACAGCCTTATAACCTGGCTCACTCTTCTCCTCTTAGGTAATGTTTGTTCTATCTGGAATTTTCTTCAAAATAATCCAGTCTCATCCACATTAAACACCTGTTCTGGCAGGTAACCCCCCCCCCCTCAGTGATGATGTTTGTATCTCTGAAAGTTTTTAAGTTGAACGTTCTAAAGTATAGGAGCACCTGTACTGCAGTGAGGGATCATTGTACGAACCATATATAATCACCCTACAAATGAGTGCATGCAGTGTATTTGGACAACAAAAGTCTCCCTCACCCCTTTTTTCTAGATCCTTCTTGTGGAGACTAAATTAATTTGAAAACTTCCTTCTGTGTATTCTTATTAAAAGGTACCAAATAATGCATGGACATTGTTTAAAAAAAAAAAAAAACCATAATTGTGCTCTACTGTATTTACCTTCCTTGTAGCTGTATTTAAGTTGCGGGCCATCATCTTTTTTCTCTTCTTCCTTCTCATCATGCACATTATTAACTTCACGCTCCACACTGTTTATTTCCCTGTCTTTTGATGAACGTTCGCTCTTGGGCTCTTCTGGAAGTGTGGGAGATGGTGCAGGTTGAGGAGTTGCCTCTTTAGAGGGAGGTGCCGAAGTTGGCTTCTGTGGAGGAGGTGGCTGTGGCTTAACAGGCTGCACTGGTTCTGGAGTTTTCTCTTTTTCCTTTTTTTCCTTGGTTGCTGTAACCGGAGTTGGTATTTTGTCAGCTGGCTGTTGAACAGCAGCAGGTGTTGCTGCTTTTTGTGGAGGTGCTGGTATCTGTGGCTGTTGAGGCTGCTCCACACTATCAACAACAGTATCTCGCGCTGGGGTAGTTTCCTCACGAGGAACTCCCTTTCCACGCTTGCCTGAACGAAAGAAGTAATTTTAAGTAAATCAGCCAACCAAAGCACAGTTTACCTACATTAAGATCTGTGATACTGTCAATAGCCAAGTATGTTTTAAAAGTTTCCAATTGACATTTGAACAATATAAAAAATAATGTATAGTGTACTGTATAATTAAAGTGTGTCATTAAGGGATTAATATTAATCAATTGAAAATGGATAAATAAAATAAAATAAATAAATAAAGACAATGTTACCAAAGCTTTAGTTATGTGCTATGCAGTGGTACACAATAATACATATTCATGGGGTTGAAGCTTGCTTGATGTCTGTACTGAAGTAATGCCACATGAATCGTGTTAAAATATAAATAAAACATAGTTCAAACACATACTGTACTTCGTAAATTATCTGATTTCATTACAACCAATAAACAGGGGTATCTAAAGAAAAAAGTCAAGTATTTCTCCAAATACAGTACTAACTGTGGAAACTCATTGAGACATTTGATCTATGACCATGAATATTTTTATTTGCACCAAGGCTGTGTTTTCTACCCTTTGAAGTTCCAGGCTGCCTCATTTCCATTGTGCAGTAATATTTGGCTGTTAAGAGTTAAATAAAATGTAACCAGCACGCGTGTCAACTGCATAATAATGCCCCCGTGCATATGATTGCCAATCTTCTCATTCATCTGTTGAATTGTGGTGTTCTGCAGTGTTTTTTTATAAGTGAATACAGTATCTGTTTATTTTACAATACTGTACAGTATTTTACTTTTATGTCACACAGTGAGGGAGCTCAAGTACAGTACCACACTATTGGTGCAACACTGAAGATCACAGAATTGTCCACCAAAACGGTACCTTCTGAAAAGTTGAATAAACTGACAAATTTCAAGCACATCTGGATAACAATTTCAACATGTTTGGGGGAACTTTAGAGGACAGTATCAGCACATCTTAAGGTATGTTGCCACTAAATCAACACATAATGCACTTTTGGGCAATTCCCAAACTTTATCTTTTCAAAGTCCAACCAGGTAAAGTCAGATACGTTTTGAATACGTGAAAGGTAAAAGCACGTGGCAGTTATAAGGCAGCAAACACTTGGCAGGGAGTCAGCTGGAGGCCTGATGTGGCTACCATGATATTTCTGGACACCATCACCTCCACCACCACTACTGAAGCTCTAGTCCATGCCAACATTACCAACACATCTCAAGAGGATACAGTACAGTAAATATTTTGGCTGTGAATTAGCTAAGTGGTCAGAATGTGACCCAAAAGATATATTTGTCCTGTAGTCACACTTCCAAGATCATTATTGATAGAGCATTATTAGTGACAGCACCAGACACTCCATAGAGAGGGAGTACACAGTAAGAACATAAGTACATATGAATGGAGGAAACTGTAGGAGGCCTATTGACCATACTGGGCAGTCCAATTTACACCCAACCCCTATTGCTCATACTGTATATCCATCCAACATATGTTTGAAGCTATCCAGTGTATTCGAGTTAATGATGATATTTGGTAACTTGTTCCATTCATCCACTACTCTGATTTCCAAACCAATGTTTACTTATTTCGCACCTAAATCTAAATTTGTCTAATTTAAAACCATTGTTACGAGTTCGCTCCTGGTTGGATAGTTTGAGTACCTTTGTAATGTCCCCTTTGTTCAGCCCTGACTTCCATTTATACACCTCGATCATATTGCCCCTCACTCTACGTCTCTCGAGGGAGTGCAAATTAAGAAGCTTTAACCTGTCTCTGTACTCAAGGTTCCTAATGCCCAGGATTAGTCTTGTCATTCTCCCCTGAATTCTTTCCAAGAATTCTATATCCATTCGGTAATACGGTGACCAGAATTGAACTGTGTATTCCAAGTGGTCTCTCACAAGCGCAAGATATAGTTTTAAGATGACCTCGCTAGTCTTGTAACTAACACTCCTTTGTATGAACCCAAGTACTCTATTAGCCTTGTTTTGAGCAAATACACATTGCTTACTTGGCTTAACCTTCCTACTTATCATTACTTTGTACTCCTAAATCTTTCTCGCAGTCGGATTTCTCAATAACATCGTTGTTCTTCTGGTTTCCCTGTTTACATCTCCTATACTGAGTACTTTACATTTGTCCACATTGAATCTCATCTGCCATTTTTCAGACGATTCAATTTTTTTTAGATCTTCCTGTAGTTTTGCGGAGTCGTCAGATTTAATTACATGCCCTACTTTAGTGTCATCAGCAAATTTACTTGTGTTGCTGTCTACGCCAATATCTGTCGTTTATGTATATAAAATGTATTGTACACCCAATAAAAAAATTATTCGACACCTGTGTTATATTGTATCACGCCGTAAGGGTGCCGAATAATGTTTAGTGGGTGTACATGTATGTATCGTGCATGTATACATTGTGTGTGTGTACAAGTATCATGTACACCTAATTAGATATCCATGTACTGTACTTTACCTTATTTCCATTATATTTAGACTAGCTCGCTTTTACTGTACTGTATATTATGCTGTAGAAGGCAAATCTATGGCAAAGGTCACTAAACCGCTGTCTCGCTAATGTACACTGATCTACTGCTTAAGTATTAGCAGTTATACAGTACAGTATACAATACTGTAATATAATTGTTTACAAACTAATTCATCAATAAAATAGCCAACGGAAATTTTGGCCGAAACTGGCAAATGCAAATCCGAAAATTTCTTGCAAGTCAATCACTGTCTTTTTTGGGAATCTCAAAGGAATCCTTCCAAGATACAGTATTTACAAATTTAGCATTCTGCTTAACAGTTATAACCAACTCCGCAATAATGTACTGTACCACAGATATTATGCTGCACTGCCAAAATAATCATCCCCCTCCACTTTGTGAATGAACTCGAAAGAACTTGATCAATGAGCTCTAAGAAAATGAAATTACCAGTATTCACAAAAATTATTTCTTTGGTTGCCCTTTTCAACCTTCGTCTAAGTTCACTTTTATTCCTCCACCAAAAGTTATGAACAATCATTCCAAAGCTGTAATTTTCTAAACAATTTGGGGATGAGGTGAAATGTGAGTCAGGGTAGTTAACCTTTAGATGAAATCTGGGGTGGTGGTTGCTCAGGTGATCCAGTGTACACAACCAGGGCTAACAATATTTATGAAATTTCCGTTTGTGAATTACTTTCGGACAAAATGGGAATTTTGGTTTTATGTTTACTATAGGTAGTTTTGTCAATTCTAAGACATTATATTAAGACGTTTCCCTTGTAAACGACTTATTTATGACGGGGAAGGGTCCCCCCCCCCGATTAGGTGAGGCCCTTTGCGAGGGAAACGTCATAGAAAAGTACATTAGTCTATTGGCTAACTTATTGATTACAAAGACAATATTCCTAAGATTCCGGTGTCGTCCTTAAGTAAATATTTGCCCTAGTTTGGTTAGACAAGAGGTTTTGTTTTGAATGTTGTTTTTTAAATAATGCAGGAATGCATGATACAGCCACCGTGAGCATGATAAAAAAACTACCCTTCTTTGTACAGATATGAACATAAGAATGGAGGAAACTGCAGCGGGCCTATTGACCCATTTACACTCAACCCCTATTGCTCATACTGTATATCCATCCAAACTATGTTTGAAACTATAAATTTAGCAGATGATCAAAGAGAAACTTACCATGACGATCTCTGCTTTTTCCACCTTGATATCTATGTTTACTAGTGTCCCTGTACAATCCACTACCACTGTGTCTGTCCGATCTGTGAATAGTTCTTGTAGAATACTTTCTACGTGGACCGTCCACTTCTGCAGGATTAACTACTGGCCGCTCCTTCTCCATAATATGAAGGTCACGTCAAGTCACGTGTGGGCAGAGAAGCGGTGGGTGGCGGCCACATGGCGCATTGGCTCCGTACTGGTAAAGTAAACGAGGCGATGGTCAGCTGGCTACTGCAGCTACCACCATTATTCGTACAGCACCACCACACCCACAGCACTTTACCACTACCTCCAGCACCATCACTCTCACCACCTTACTTCTGAAATAAGTTGGTGCTAACCGCCTTAAGCTAGCGATCCCGTTGTGTTTTGTTTCATGTGAACTCAATGGTGTTGCAAATTATTCCATAAATTAAAAGTTCCTATCTCAAGGCACTCGAAACTCGCACCCTTCAGAGTTGGATTAATACTGACGCCAATTCAAGTAAAAAGTGGCAACAGGGCAAGCCTCGCACTGTAGGTTGTCGTACTGCTGTACTGAGACGTTGCCACCAAAATTTAATTTGGACAAGGCTGCACCACTGATATAATTATTTTAAAAAAAGATGCGCATCTTCTAACTGTTAAACTATTCCCTTTGTATTATGATATATTATCTATAAAAAAATGGGTGTATCGTACAAAGATGGCGTTGTGGCAAGGAGAGAGCACGCCGGGTGCCCACATACCTTACCACCTCCGCTACCAACCTCCATCCCTCCCACACCAATCTGCTGCCACTTCCACAAGACCCAATACACTTTCATCAATATTTATTAACATTATCAAAACGTTGGTAATTGTGAAAAAATGGTGTACATTAACTAAAGGGAAGGCAAAGTACGGACTTCAAATACAGTAGTAATATACTGTACAGGTATAGGCTCTCGCCCTGATAATCTGCGTGCCAGGGGTACGATGCTTCATTAACTGTCGCCAACCTAAAAGGGAGATATTTGCTTGCATTAACTTCAACACCCCCACCCCATTTTCGATAAATATCTATTGTACCGAGGAATATTTGTCCTGAATATGCATATCCCTCCCGGTGTCATTTGCCACGGTGCCCGTCCCATATAAATCAGGTTATCGTGACACCCATTTCCAACGACTAGAACACTTATTGTGCCAACGAGTTTTGGGGAAATAAATTATGGCTGGCGATCAAATATCATAACCTATAAAAAAATCGTGGTAGCCGTTGAGCTTTCAGGAAAGGATGCGGTTACAGCTCGTTGACTAAACCCCTAAG